GGGATGATTCTCGCAAGGCTGGACGGTTCAACATTGCGCCGACGCTGGATGAAGAGGTGGCGATGGCTCCTTCCCCTGTCAAGGGCAGCCCGTTGGGAAAGCAGTACCCTCCAGTGCCGAGTCTCCTCGCGCCTGCGTCTTCATCGGCTACAGCTTCATCGCTAACGGTGGACGCGGTTGCTGGACATGTGGCTTCTGGCGCTGCGGCTGGGGGGGGGGCTTCGGAAATCTCTTTCATTCGATGCGGTATCGAACTCTGGGAAATCTGATGGAGCCAGCTCGGCAGCCGACAGTGAAGACCTAGACTTCAGCAATTGCCCGAAGGACAACCCAGGGAAGGTCGAGCACTGGATCCAGAAGAACAATCTTTACGGACACCTGGACGACGAGAAACTGAAGAACAGCGTCAAGGAGGCCACCAACCTCTTGGAGAGGATGAAGGGGAAAGCCGAGTTTTCAGGAGTATATTCGCGGCTGTTCAAGCGCATGGCTGACGTGAAGCTGGTGTGCACAGTGAAGAGGTCTCTCATCAACGACGGCAAAATCACGGACGATCAGCTCCAGAAGGGCCTGAAGCCAATCCTTGCGGATGACGGGTCCGCCAACAAGCTCAGCCCCCAGTGCATGTTCGCCCTCGTCCAGCGGAAGGTTGCGACCCTGTTGCCAGGGAAGGGCACGATCGGCCTGACTACACTAGAAGCTTGCAAAGAAGTTTGGAACCGTTGCAGGCCATGGTCGCATACGCAAGTTATTTCTGGTAGCGCGGACATGGACACCTTCGGAGAAGATGAACCGACGGCCGCGCCGTCATGCGGTGGCGCCGAGACACGTACTCTCAACGAAACCGAGGTGGAGTTGGACACCGATGACCTCAGCTTCCTCCCGCTGGACCCGATGATCTCACAGATCCCGAACAAAACGGTCAGAGAAGCCGTATCCATGTTTACCGACGTTCTCATCAACAACCAGGTGTGTACTTTGATACTCCAGGACGCCGACTCCAGGAGCAGCTGCGAGTATTTCGCGACGGTCTGCCTTCAAGAGCTTGAGTCCGACCTTCGGAAGACGTTAGTACCACAGGGCTTCATGCGAACTGCGTTCGAGGTCCTCTCGACTTTAAAGCAGGTGCTGTTTCTCCAGCGTGTTGCCAACAAGAGGGTTCGCATCGATACCTACGAGAAGGACTACGTCGACTTCAAGAGCTTCTGCGCGTCGGCCTCTGCGCCGAAGACCGAGTACAACATCATGAAGTACGTCCACGACGCCTTTCAGACGTCCGCAGCGTGGGCAAATACGATGGATAATGCAATGATCACGCACAATGGAACATTGACCGTCATCAAAGCCGTGCAGCCTATCGTCGTTCAGCTTGAGAAGTTCCTGAGCACGCCCATGGAATGTGCAGCAGTGCCGTCGCCATCGGAGCCCTGGCCCAGTTTGAAAAGGACCGCCGAGGAGATCCACAAATGGAAGGCTCACGAAGATGCGTTGTGCGACGATCTCTTGAAGCGCGTTGTCGATCAGTTCGTGAAGGCACTGACGCACCTCAGCAACGCTACGCACGCCGCCATCACAAATGAATCCCGTATGGAGAATGCGGTGCCGCTACAGGAGTTGCTGCAGCTTTCCGCCAAGATGTTCCCAGAGATCCCCATGATCCACGTGCAGCTCAAGAAGTGCCAGGTGTTCAACTCAGAGGCCGCGCTCCAGAAGCGGAGCAAGCAGCTGGAGGACGCGGCGCAGCTCATCGCGAAGGCTGTTGAGGAGGAGGTCGTGGCCGACCCTACTCTCCACGAAGCAGAGAAGCTCGTGAAAGACATCGAAGGCCAGGACTGCGGAGCGACGGGGAAGACGAAAATCCACGAGGCCCTGGTGTCTTTGGCGCTGAAGACTATCGACCACATGCCCCTGAAGACGCCCAACAAGACTACCGTGTTGTCTATATACACGAAGGTCAGGGATATCTTCAAGAAGGGCGCTGCAGACTATTCAGACCAGACCAGAGACATCACTATGCTGCACGACTTCCTCAAGGACGCGTTCGGCATCATCAGTAGCAATGCTGACTTCGAGGCCTTGGGGGAGAACGACGAGGCCCGCGCCGCTGAGGATGCGAAGAGCGGGTACAGAGTGGTTTCAGCTTGCAACTCCCTCATCGAACACGCCCGTGAGCTGCAGGAGAAGATCGACGCGAAGCTCACGATCAAGCAGGAGCCGTGGACACAGGCTTCCACGCGCTTCCGTCACGAGGTCGTCAACCCGCTCGACGCCGAGGTCAAGAAGGTCGTGGTGCACTGCGAGGCGATCGAGAGGGAGAAGCTCATCGAGAAGCAGGCGCGGCTGGAGCTCACCGCGGCTGGCGGCAAGAACAAGGAGAAGTGGCACGCTTCCATCGTCGCGGACAACCTGAAAGACCTGAGCGAGCAGGAGACCATCACCACGACCTGGAAGCTCAAGGAGCACAGGGATGCCAAGCAGAAGTTGGAGGAGGCGACCCTGAGGGAACAACCCCCCTAACCCACAAACGACGATGGGGAGGGCCACTGAGAAGGGGTGGAAGGCAGGCGGGGGAACTGGAGGGCCGGTGAGCGGAGGGAAGGGAGGGGGATGGAGGGGGGTCAGGGCCCCCCCCGCTCTTACTGAAGGGGTCGCCTTCTGCGCGTCTGCTTGGCGATGCCCGTGCAGGCGACGAAGACCTACACTGACGCGGTGGACTACATCGGAGCTGCGGCGGACGCCGCGACGATCGATCGCTCGGACCAGATCTGCGACAGGGTCCTGGTCACAGAGGTGGAGGGGATGATCTTCAACTACCTGAAGAAGGAGGGGGGGGACGCCATCAAGCTGGCCGCCAGCATCGTGGCGCAGGCGGCGAAGCTGGACAAGCTCAAGATCAAGGGCTCGGAGGCGGCGACGGTGCACCCGCTCCTGCACGAGCGGATCGAGAGCGCCCGCGTGGGCAATTAGCCGCCGCGCGTGGCGCGGTGGCGGAGGGCGCACGGCGTCTGGCCGCGCCCTGGAAAGAGGGAGTACGAGGAGGCGAGGAGGGAGGAGGGGCAAAGGTGAGGAGGGCGGCGGGAGGACGGGGGAAGGAGGAAAGGGGAGGCGGGGAGGACACGGAAGGGGAGAGAGGATGAAGAACGAGAGAGGCAGTATGGGGCAACAGCAGGAGGGGGAACGTTGGAAATGAGGTCGGGGACCGCATGAGGAGTGAGGCGCCGCCGCTGTCGGCGTCAGTCGTCATCCGTCGCCGTCGCCGTCGCCGTCGGGGTGCCGACGCCCACGCTCACCTCTGGGCGAGGCGTCGCCAGAAGCCTGGCCGCGGCAGAACGCCGACCCCCGCTCCCGCTTTACATAGAGGCTTTCGCCACGAAACCGCCTGACCCCCAACCCTCCCCCTCTCCCGTGCGGTCCTGGGTTCCGCCCTGCTTACCCCCGCAGTCGATTTAAAATTCCTCTGGGAGGTCCCCAACACCCTGCTCGTGCGCGGATGCGCGGTGACGTTGGCACGGTCGGTGATATGTTTGCTGTGTCAAATAGTTCGAGGCGCGTAGTCGTCGTCGCATTTAGCTTCGTCGTTTCGCTAGTTTCGGCTCGACGCTCTAAACACACCGATCGCGTTTCGTTTATTTTTTGGAGGGCGCCCCGAATATCAAAAATACAGTGGTTCAACATAACAGGCCGAGAGTGGTCAACATAGCAAAAAAACAGTGATCGCGAGAGTCAGCGGCGCGAGCTCCAGAACAGTGCTTTTAATTTATTATGCTGGGAGGCCCTGTAGGGGGACAGGCGGATTACAGAACTCGTCCGTTCCCAACCAAAAAAGGTGGACACGTCGTCAACTCTCAATCAACAAATATTGTGCAAGAGCGCAATCTGGACCGAACCCGACGAGACGTCGAAAGTTGCACAACCCGTCGGTTCCCAGCCAAAGAAAGCTGCACACATCGACAATTCTAAATCGGGAATGTTGCACAAGCTCGAAAACCGAAACGAACTCGACGAAACGAAACAAGTTGCACAACTCGTTGGCTCCCAATCAAACGCGCTGCACACGTCGAAGATTCGGAATAAAAAAGGTTGCACAAGTTCGAAAACCGAGCACGCCACGACCAAACGAATCATATGCTGCACAATGTTGGGAATATCAGCCTTTTCATCTCCATGTGACGGTAGATCCCATGAACATGTGTAATTTCCAACTTCTACCGCCTGGACCGTACGTCTAACTTCAGAACTTTAGAACTTGATGTTCACATCTGGGAAGAGTGGCCTATGGTGCGCGGCTTTAGGGGGCCACGGTCGGGCCAAATCCAAGCGCGCAGTCGAGTGCTGGGTGGCACCGGGGGGACCCCCCTGGGCCTACACCAGAGTCACCCTTACGTGTAACCGATGACATGAGATGCGCGACCGTCGCAAACCCCCTGGTGCTCACGAACCCTCCGTTCTTTCCGCACCCGTGCCGATCGGGTGGAGCCCCCCAGGCCCGCTGCGCCGCAGTCGCGGCCTGGGGCCTCGTCCAGGGCACGCGGGCACCCTGCCACGTCCTTCCATCCCCCCCCCCCGTCGGGACGCAGAGGCCCAGGTCAGCGCACACCCGGGTCAGCGAGGGCCACGTCGCGAACCCAGGCCAGCCACGAAGCAGCTCCCAAACCTGGGTCAACGGAGGGCGGGGGAGCGGGGTCGGCTCCAGGTCGCTCCCAAACCCGAAGCAGCCAGAGGATCTCGGAGGGGATTGGCTGACCCCCGTTGGCGCTGACCCCTGTTACGTCCTCGGCGACACGCCATGCCCTGCGAGCCGATAGCGTGTCGCTCCGCTTCGCGAGGCGGGAGGCTGGGGAGAGGTCGGGACGTTGACGCTTGGACAGGAGGACGCGGTTAGCGTCTCGCGCCACACCTCGTTGGGCCAGAACGCGGAACGGCACGCGAAGCAAACGCTCGTGATCGTAAGCTTCGCGAGCCGCGCTGCGGCCCCACCACCGAAGCTCTGAGTCCCGTGCCTTGCGGCCAGACTTGCTGACCTCGTCGAAGCACCATTGGCCTCTCGGCGCGGGCGGCAGGCGCAAATGAGCAGTGGCGCGTGGCGGAGGCCTGTCGAGAGGCTGTGGGTCGGAGGGCGCGCTCTGGAGGGGTGGGCCTCGCGAGGACGCCTCCTCGGCTCCTCCCTCCTTTGTTCCTCCTCCTCCTCCTCCTCCTCCTCCTCCCTTTCTGCTAGCACCGCTTGACGCCACCCCGCGGTCGGGGCGCGCGCTATAGGGCCCCCGGGGAAAGGGTCGCCCAGCGGCCCAGCCAGGACGAGGCTGGTGGAACGCCGCTGCTGCACTTCCTGCTGTTCTTCCTTCTCCATCACCTCCCCCTCCCCCTCCCTCCTCCTCCCTCCTCGATCCCTCCTCCCTCGTCCTTCTCCTGTTTCTCCTCCACCTTTTCCTCCTCCTCCTCCTCCTCCTCCTCCGCCTCCTCCTACTGCTACCTTTCTGCAAACACCGCTTCACGCCACCCCGCGGTCGGGGCGCGCGCCGGGCCGGCCCAGGCCGTCCAGCGCGGGCTTTCATAAGATCGCGAACGACGCCCGCAAACTGCCCATCCCTCGTGCCGTGCCGACTTCGGAATTGGCTTCTGACACCGCGGGGGGCTCTCAACCTTGCACCATCGGCCGCTTCCAAAACTTAAGACACGACGCGAACCTGCCGCACACGCGTTCCGGGGGGGAGGGCGTCACAACGCGCACGCCTTTCCCGACCACGCCCGCCCCCCACCCCTCGGGTGTTGCCCAAGGTGCCCCTGGCCCAGCGTGCCCCCAGCTTTTCGCTCCATTTTGGAACCCCTGAAGGGTGCTCTGGGGTCCGTGGGGGCCTCCCTGGAAATCCTGGGGGCAACTTGGGGCAGGGGCAATTCTAGCAACAGCCCCCCCCCCCACCCCGCGTAGTGGTTGGGCCGCTGCACCGGAACCCCCGGGCACCCCCCGCAACGAGGCAGCGTGAACCCAGCCCGACATCGCCGTCGATGGTGGCTCGCCACCGGGGCCGTCAGAAAACGACCAAGGATGCAGATTTGGTCTCGTGGGGCAGCTCTGGGGTCCATGGCTCGTTTCCCTCAGGACCCGTTTCGTTCGTGCCAAATGGCCCGTGGGCCAGGGGGGGGGCGGTGGTGTCCGTCGCGGGGCGGTTGCCGCGCCATCTCGGCGTGCCTCTGGCGAAAGCATGTCCAGCCGAGCAGGTCCTCGTACCTCTTCCCCTGCGGCTGCTCCTCCTCCTTAGTTCCTTGTCCCTCCGCCTCCGCGTCCTTATCCTCGTTTCCTCCTCCCTCTTCCTGGGTCTTCTCGCCATTCTGATCCTCGTCCTCGTCCTCGTCCTCGTCCGTCCTCGTCCTCTTCCTC